CAGGCAACTCCACCAGCACCCACCCCCCAGTGTCAGGGAACTCCACCAGCACCCACTCCCCCAGTGCCAGGGAACTCCACCAGCACCCCACACTGAGATGGCATTGTGGAACAGTGAGCAGACAGATAGATTTAGCCTCTCATTTCTTTAATTTTTTGATGTTTGCCTCAATACAATGGTAGAATGATTGTATAATTGCTTTAAGATATTAGTTTCTTTAGGAAGGGGAATAAAAAGGTAGGAACTATTTATATTTTATTTTCTTTTCCCCAAAGTGAAACTCTTGTATTTTGGTGAAATTTATTAACTTTTAGAGTATCAGAATATCAAGAAATTTGGATATAAGAGAAAAAAAAATCTGCTAGGGCTGGGGCTGTAGCTGAGGCACTGGGTTTGATCCTTAGCACTGCATCACAAAATAAATAAAATAATTATTAAAAAAAAATCTGCTAAAAAGTGTTAAGTCAATACGACTAATCTTTTYGCAAAGATGAATTCTTCAAATTTTGACCCTTTCTTTCCCAGTGCACTGGGCAAAACCACATAATAACTGCCAATATTCATTTATTCTTCTGGACCAGAAACATGTCAATTTCATGATTTGAAGTTATATACCTATAAAAGAATAAAGGCATTAAAATAAGGCMATTTAATAGATATATCTGTTTTTACACATTCATTAAGAAAGTATGCTTAAAGTAGACTTTGCTGAGAAAACCACCCAGCCAACCACCCAGTCAACCAACCAACCTGAAGCCTAACTTTGATGTGTACATTTACATGTCAGGTCAGGTGTTGCCCACAGTAGTTTGCATGAAGGTAACAGATGCTAGTCCATGAGAGAGAGAACTTTAGATGTGGTGTGACATACATGTTTTCATTAGCTGTGCATTGAACTTGGAAAAGAAATTTCCTGCAGTGCTGCACGTCCATAATCCCAGTGGCTTGGGAGGCTGAGGCAGGAGAATTGCAAGTTTGAGGCCAGCCTAAGCAACTTTGCAAGACCCTGTCTTAAAAAAAAAAAAAAAAAGAGGTGTGTGGGGTGGTGGTGGTGTTGCTCAATGGTTAAGCACCCCTGGGTTCAATACTTGGTACCAAAAAATATATATATTTTTTTGTCTTAAGGTGTATTAACGCTTTCCTATAACAGTCAGGAATTGTCTGGAAGCACACGCGTCTGTTGAAATGAACTCTGTGTGGGTAGAGTTCTGGCCTGGACACCATGTCATGTGACCTAGAGCCAGTTCCCTTCTCTGGGTGGGATGCCTCCCTGAGACAGATGCCCTGCTGGATGACCTCTGTCCTGAGGTCTTGGGCTGGTGTGCATTTCATTCCTTTGTCCCTGGGAGGCTAGGCTGCAGGATCACCCCCAGACCTGATGTCCCTCCAAGGAGTGTACAGCGAGAACCACAGCAGCCACAAGGAAAGGGGATACAATGCTTGACCCCTGCCTGTGTCCTGGAGGCCAGTGACAGCTGCTCTTCATGTCCACCCTGGGGCTCGGTCCTTGCCTCCCTGCACCTGCCCTTCAAAGTTGAGAGGGAACCTTCCCCTTCTCACTTGTCCCCAGCATCCTGGGGGTCRCGCTGGCTCAGGAGCTTCTCTTTGAAGCAGGCTGCCCAGATGAGCCCTGACATTCTTCACTTTGTCATTGTGCCTGAATGTCTGGTTAGAGGTTGATCTGCAGCTCACAGCCTTCCCGGGGGTGGTCAGCCACTTCCCTCTGACCCCTCCCTGAAGTTGGGGTGCTGCCTGGTGGTGGGTGAGGCAGGAGGCAGGATGTGTGCCTCGAAGTGGTGAGGACCGCAAGGCTCGTGCTCTGAGATAGAGCACCAGTGTGCAGAGGAAGGAGGGAAAGGAGACCCCAGACCCCTGCCAGACCCACTCGGTTCATCAGAACATTTTGGCCGTTGTCAGCCCTGTTGTTGTTCTAGGGCTTGTAGCAATCAGGAAAGGATCCAAAACATAAAGAAACAAAGCGTTTTAGGGTCAGAGAGAAGATTCTTGTATTAAAAAAAAATTAGTACTGGGGATTGAACCCAGGGGCCCTTTTTATTTTGAGTCAGGGTTCTGCTAAATTGCATGAGATTTTGTTAATTTGTTGAGGCTGGCCTCGAACTCAGAGTCTGAGGGGCCAGGATCGCAGCCCTGCGCACCACCCTCTACTGAGAGTGGATGGTGACAAGCAGCATTTGCTCCCCAGTTCTTCGGCTCACACCTGCCATCTGCACTTCAGACACTAGGTGGCAGCAGGACACCGCGCGCTAAGGTGCCTGACCCAGCCTAGCTGTCACCACTCAGCTGGGCCCAGGCATCTCATCCCGTGCTGTCCTCTCGTGAGTACTGCTTCTTCGTTTTCTGACTTGCTTTCTCCCACCGGTAAGAATATCACATGGCTGTTGGAAAGATTTTTGACAAACATTTCCCCCATTTGCTCACTATTCGCTCACCCATGTCAATGCCTTGATCCGACCTTCAGAGCTCCTTTCTCATGAAAGGGCTTGCTTTCTTTTTAAAAATAATATTCTATTATTATTATTATTATTAATTAATGATATATTTTTAAACTCATCTGCATTTATTACTATTTAAAGCAGAATGTTGACTTGGGCACTACATATTTCCATTCACAAGCCTTACTGTTACTTTTTGAACAGCTTTGTAACACAACTAAGGGAGGTTTAAGCTTTGTTTCTTGAAATACTTTTCTTTGGAAAACAAGCCCTGTAGAGTTCCTCCCAGCCAGTTGTCTGTTTCACATACTTGGTTCTAGAGGACTAGTACATGCACAGTGGTAACTATGGGGGATCCTAATGAGA